AGAGAGAGGAGATCATGACTCTTTGGACTCTGCTCCCACAGCCAAAGGCGCAGGACAGAAAGCTGATACTGGGCCACTTCTGCAGACAGTGAGCTTCACAACAGAGCCACCTACACTGCTGTAGTTCCCTGCTTTTCCACCTAAAAGGCCATAATAATCCAATCTCTGCAGTGCCAGATCTAGGTCTTCCAGCTATAGAATGAGTACAGCCGGAATGTTTAGTCTCTGCTCCCACAGCCAAAGAGCTAGGACAGAAAGCTGATACTGGGCCTCTTCTGCAGACATAGACCTTTGCAAAGGTGCCATCCGAATTGATGTCGCTCCTAGCTTTCCCACCTAAAAGTCTCTTTGAATCCATCCTCTGTGGAGCCTGGTCTCGGCTGTCCGGCAGCAGAGTGAGTAATGAATGTTTGGCCTCTGTTCCCACAGCCGAAGACACAGGATAGAAAGTTGGCACTGGGCCTCTGCTGCAGACAGTGAGCTTTGCAACAGTGCCATCAGCATCACTGTAGTTCCCTGCTTTCCACCTAAAAGTCCATTTGATTCCAACCTCTGTGGTGCCCACTCTTGGCTGTCCTTCAGAAGAGTGAGTAGAGCACAAACGTTTGGCCTCTGCTCCCACAGCCTAAGAACTGATTCGGAGAAAACTCCAGGAACAAACTTGCCAACAAAGTTTTCAAGCTGACAAGCAGGTATTCTTTATTGCGGCGCCGGGAGACACGGAGGATAACTCCTCCTAACGTGTGTCCCCCTATTGCTATACAAGCCATCCTTATATAGTCCCTGGGCATACATACATATTCATGAGGCTACGTATGGATTACATCATTTTCCAGAGAGTTCCCCGCATGCGTACAGAATTGTGGTGGTGGTCTCTGAGGGTCATTTACTTCTTCCAACAATCTTCATCACTTCTGGCAGCCTTTGAAGCACGCGCAGTAGATGCTCATACCAGTTTAATTGGTTCGTTAGCACTAGAGACATAAAAATTCTCCTATCCTCCTACTTATCAGTTAGTTTAACTGTAGCCCATCCTGGACACCTGCCATTCCCAGATACTCCTTATCCCTGTGTCCTGTTCTTCTAGACTGTTTTTCTTAAAACTAGGCGAACTACAGCGATTTATCTTGTGAGAATTCTCAGTATGTTCTCTAGTTGTACTCTATTTTTTTCTCTGTGTATCTTGCACCTCAGTAATTTTCCATTGCTACTGTTACAAAGCCATCAAACTTAACATTACTTAAAGCTACTGATACAGGTTTCTATATCCCATTTTGTGATTTTGTGCCCCTTTGTCTCAAATTCCCCCCTTTTTCTGTACTTTTGCAAATTCTTTTGCAACATTTTATATATTACCATTACCATCAAAAGTCTTTTTGAAATAATTTCCCGTCTCTACCTGGTGCTTAGTTTCATTCCGTTTCCAATCTTTGTAATTTATCATAGACCGTTTACAACACCAGAGGGAACATTGTATCATACCACAAGTAATCAATATTAAAATAATTAACACCAATATTCCTGCAACCAGTTGCCTCAACCAGGAGAGATTGGGTAATCATGAAGTTAACTTTTTCCATGTTTCTTCAAAACCCCAGGAGGTGTCATCCATGGCCATTTCGTGAAATATCTTAGTTTGTTTCCAAATTTCACAGTATCACAGTATCACAGTATGTTAGAGATTGGAAGGGACCTCAAAAGATCATCTAGTCCAATCCCCCTGCCGGAGCAGGAACACCTAGATAAGGTTACACAGGAACGTGTCCAGAAGGGTCTTGAATGTCTCCAAAGAAGGAGATTCCACAACCTCCCTGGGCAGCCTGTTCCAGTGTTCCGTCACCCTCACTGAGAAGAAGTTTCTTCTCAGGTTTAAGTGGAACCTCTTGTGTTCCAATTTGTACCCATTTCCCCTTGTCCTTTCATTGTTTGCCACTGAGAAGAGCCTGGCTCCATCCTCGTGACACTCCCCCTTTATATATTTATATACACTAATAAGGTCACCCCTCAATCTCCTCTTCTCCAAACTATAGAGACCCAGCTCCCTCAGTCTTTCCTCATAAGGGAGATGCTCCACTCCCTTAATCATCTTAGTTGCCCTGCGCTGGACTCTCTCCAGCAGGTCCCTGTCCTTCCTAAACTGAGGGGCCCAGAACTGGACACAATATTCCAGATGAGGTCTCACCAGGGCAGAGTAGAGGGGAAGGAGGACCTCTCTCGACCTACTAACCACCCCCCTTCTAATACACCCCAGGATGCCATTGGCCTTCTTGGCCACAAGGGCACAGTGTCGGCTCATGGTCACCCTGTCGTCCACCAGGACCCCCAGGTCCCTCTCCCCTACACTGCTCTCTAACAGGTCGTTCCCCAATCTATACTGGAACCTGGGGTTGTTCCTGCCCAGATGCAGGACTCTACACTTTCCCTTGTTATATTTCATCAAGTTATTCCCCGCCCAACTCTCCAGCCTGTCCAGGTCTCACTGGATGGCAGCACAGCCTTCTGGCGTGTCGGCCACTCCTCCCAGCTTAGTGTCATCAGCAAACTTGCTGATAGTACACTCAATACCCTCATCTAGATCGCTGATGAATATATTAAATAATACTGGTCCCAGAACCGACCCTTGAGGCACTCCACTAGTTACAGGCCTCCAACTAGACTCTGCCCCATAGACTACAACTCTCTGGCTTCTCTCCTTCAGCCAGTTCACAGTCCACCTCACTACCCGATCATCCAGACCACATTTCCTCAATTTAGCCGCAAGGATGCTGTGCGAGACCGTGTCAAACGCTTTGCTGAAGTCAAGGTAGACCACATCCACCTCTCTGCCATCATCCATCCACCGTGTTATTTCCTCATAAAAGGCTACGAGATTGGTCAAGCATGACTTCCACTTGGTGAAGCCATGTTGACTGCTCCTCATAACCCTCTTATCCTTGATATGCCTTAAGATGGCACCAAGGATAAGGTGTTCCATCACTTTCCCAGGAATGGAGGTGAGGCTGGCCGGTCTATAGTTACCCGGGTCCTCCTTCTTGCCCTTTTTGAAGACGGGAGTGACATTTGCTTTCCTCCAGTCCTCAGGCACCTCTCCCGTTTCCCAAGACTTGGTAAAGATGATGGAGAGTGGTCTAGCAATGACCTCAGCCAGTTCCCTCAGCACCCGCGGGTGCATCCCATCAGGACCCATGGATTTATGGATGTCCAGATTGCTCAACTGGTCTTTAACCCATTCCTCATCGACTAAGGCAGACCGCTCCGTTGACCTATCTTCATCCGAGGTCTCAGCGGTACAGGGCTTTTCAGGACTGCCTCCGGCAGAGTAGACAAAGAAGGCATTCAGTAACTCTGCCATCTCTGTATCTTCTGTCACCAGGGCACCCGCTCCGTTCATCAGCGGGCCTACATTGCCTCTGGTGTTAGTTTTACCTGCCATGCATTTGAAAAAGCTCTTTCTGCTGTCCTTGACCCCTCTCGCCAGCTTTAATTCCAAGGAGGCCTTAGTCATCCTAGCAGCTTTCCTACATCCTCTAGCAGCAGCCTTATATTCTTCCCAAGTGGCCAGCCCTTCCTTCCATGACCTGTAAACTCTCCTCTTCCACTTGAGCATACCCAGCAATTCCCTATTTAGCCACGCAGGTCTCCTGGCCCTCTTCCTTGACTTCCTACGTGTCGGGATGCTCCGATCTTGAGCTCGGAAATTTCCAATACACCTCAGTTTCATGAGCTGCCTGGAATCCTGAAGCTGTTTAGTCTCATTACAGTTATAGGGGATTTGTATTTTATGTAAGGATACCCTTTGTCTTGATGTTTTTAATTCTGAAATGAATGGAATAAGAAACCTGAGTGTATGCTGGCAATTTGAACTAGGAAGGGATTATTGTGGTTTTTTATTTTTTTTAATCTTTAATGAAAATGCTTAATTTATCTCCCTAGTGGTATGCCGGGGTATAATGAAGTGTTCTGGCTGTTGTGTCTTGGAATGTATGGGACTTTTTTTTTTTTTGTTAATCTTAGTTAACTGGACTTCTCCAGTGGCAAAGTTTGTATCTATATTAAGAGGTAGATTTTTATGGGCATTTTTAATGTATAAAGCTCAAACCTAAAAGTTTTGATTACCTAACTATTTAACGATTTCAGGAATATCTTTATAGAATTCCAGCTTTAAGTGAAATATAACCTTGACAAAACATTAAAAAACCCAAACAAACCAACCAAAAAAACCCTAACACACGAACAAAACCAAACTGACCTAAACCACACCTGTTTCCCTCTCTCTTAGGCAGTCCTGTTTTTAAACAAAGATCATTCAACCAAAACTAAAACTGGGAATGGAGTACATGTGTATGAACCTCATAAGCTCTGACTTGTTCTTGGATCTTTTCTAGACTTGTGGTTTTCTTTTACTGAATGGCACAGAAGATTTTTGTTCTCTTCCTAAGACCTAGACTTTATTACAGGCTGCAGAAACCTTTCACAGTTGAATCACAAAGCAATAAATTGCTCACTGAACTTCTTAAGTGAATATATGTTCTACACTTACCTGTTTCTGAGAGCTGACCTAATAAACTGCATGATAAGGAATTCTGGATTAGCAAAATGCCAATGATAAAAAAAAAATCAGGACTCTACATTTGCTGTGATAAGAGTAATGTGTAAACTGCAACCGGACTCCTGCAAATCATCCTGTTTAAATAACCCTGTTTCTGTGCGGGCTCTCACTTCTCTCTTTCTCTGGCTCATTTTCTTCTGGTTCAGCAAGCTGAAGTGCTGTATGCTGTGATAAGGCCCTACATAACGGAGGTGTCAGGAATGAGTATTAAAGTAAGAACAGTCCTTTTAACAGGAGTCTACTGGTGCACTAGGCATAATATGTAGGCAGAGTCTTTGTATTGGCATATTACAGCTGTGCTGCATTCTTATCTAGTAGGACAATAGAGCTACTAAAGGAGTACCTAGTGGTGTAGGGTCAACAATGCATCTTCAAGTCTGTTCTCTTTTATAGGTAGACCATCAAAATAGCACCACCAACGAAGCACCGGCTGATTCTAAGGGTATGTTTAATATTAAGGAATTGTAATTGAAGCTCGCAAAGAAGTTTTCTTCAGGTCAATAACTGACTTATGGCCTATGTTAATAACAAAATGACGACTTGACATTTTTATATGCCTGTGAATTGGGTAGTATGCAAGTTATCTGTGCAGAAAACAGTACTACTTATTCTGTGGGCCCTAATGGTGTCCTGACAGGCTTTTAGAGTAACTGTATGTAATCTAATTCTTGCACTTAAGAACTACCCATGTTTGCTTTAAAAAGTCAGAATGAAGTGTGCTTGTTGATTTAATTCAACCTTCTAAAGATACTGGAGAGACTTGAATAATTCCAGCCAAGCTGTGTGTGTTTGAAAGAATTTGCAAGTGGAAAAGGAAGTGGTAGAGTGTCTCTGGCAATTATGTAGGGTAAACGTGTGATGCTTAATAAAGGGGGAGGGGATCTCAGTTGTTTTTGTCTACGACACGTGTTCTAGAAGGCTCAGTTTTCACTTACTAATTTTTTAAAATGAAATTCACTTCACTAGGCCTATATTGACATGTAATACTTTGTTCTTGCCAGATTTGGAACAGCTCTTAAAAGACTCGGAGCAGTCTAGCCCAAGTGTGAAAAATGATGTGAAGTTTTCTGTTCGGGTTTCATTTTTTGAGATTTACAATGAATGTTTTTATGATCTCCTGATTCCTGTATCAAATGACAAGAAAAGAAGTACGCTACGCCTTGCTCAAGACATCAAGGGATGTTCGTATGTAAAAGGTGATTGGAATACATTGCAAATTGCCAAACAGTATTACTCCTGGTGTGCATATGTTATCTCTGAAGCCCTTCTTACTTTTTGTTGATATTTACAAATTTATCATGTTTGTTCTTCCTAAAGGTCTGCAGTGGGTACAGATTTCTGATTCTAAAGAAGCTTTTTGACTTCTAAAACTGGGGTTGAAACAGCAGAGTATTGCAAGCACGAAACTAAATGCTAACTCCAGCAGGAGGTGAGAAACATTGAATAACACTGGGCATAGGATGGTGTGTGGGACGGAGCATGCAACAAAAATATGGCTTGAAGGTCTAGGGAAGAAGCTTTAAGAAGGTCTAGATATCTAGGCTTAGGAAGAAGGTCTAGATATCTCTGTTTAGGGTTTGGCATCCTTTAGCAGTGCTTTGAGCCAGAAGGATTCAATCCTTCAGTAAGATGAACATGTACTAAACCTAACAGTGTTCTATCAAATAGTCTCCTTCAGGAAAAAGCACTTGGCTCTTACTCTATCTAAATGTCTGAGAAAAAAGGAAAATAAGTGCTACATAAGTATCTCTTCAAAAGTTTGTATCTGATGGGGTATATGCATAGATATGTTGGCAGATTCAACAGTGTTTTAAACAGATGTGGTGAAGGCTAAAAATATTTTCACTTCTCTACTGATTTAAATTTCTTTCAGTCACAGCATATTCACAGTTAAAGTATTGAAAATTGGAGATTCAGGAGCACCGCAAGTGATTGGAGTCAATGAGTAAGTTCAGAGCTGAGTCTCCCTCTTTTATGATGTTGTCAGTTATCTTACATGTTGATGTGCTGGTACTGCACTGTACACCCAGAACTCTCTGGTAGAGCCTCATGCACGTACAGTTTTCCCCACTTTCTAAATTCATATGGTACTTGGTCCTCTACCTCAAGCCATCAGGTGGCAATGCTGTTTTGTATCTTGTACCCTCTATTCAACACAGGGTTCAGTTAGCCTGCTGTACTCCTGAACTCATGTAAGTCCTCAGAAGGAACTGGGGGAGAAGGGGAAACCTGTTGGGAAAGAGTTTGGCAGGCAGTAGTGTGAAACTTGTTTAGGGAAGCAGCAAGAAATTCTTTATCTGAGGAAAGTGTTTTTAAAAGCAGTTAATTTCTTCATGCTCAAAGGTGGATAAAGTGGATTTCTTTATCTGCTTTCAGATTGTCACTGTGTGATCTTGCTGGTTCAGAAAGATGTACCAAGACCCGTAATGAAGGGGATAGATTGAAAGAGAGTAGAAATATAAACACCTCCCTCCTGATTCTAGGCAAGTGTATTAACTCACTCAAGAACTGTCAACAGTCAAAGTAAGTCCTTTTACGAATTGCGGACTAGTTGTGGATTTTAAATATTGCCTAGAACGTTTTAAAGCTATTGTTTAAATAGGCAATGCTCTCACTAAGGTTTTGGTGGAAAAGATATGTAGACTTGTAAAGTCTATATTGTAAAGTTGTGTTGATCTAGGAAAGCTATTGTTAAACTTGCTTTGTTTTGTTCCTTATATCATTCAAATTCTGACATCCTTTAGATATGCTGTTACGGATTTTATCAAATTAAGTTGCTTCTGAGCTTGGCTGATGCAACAAACTTTGCAAAAGAGTTTTTTAAACTTGTGTTAGAGTCAGATTTTCAGCCTTCTATTATTCCTTAGAGCTAACTCTATTTTCTGTGTGCTTCTATTGGCAGCTGCTTGCAAGCTGTTAGTCTATTTAGAATGTGGTTTTTTGATCTTAACTTTGAATTTTAATAATATAGAAGAAATACTCTAAAGCATGATCTCTTAAAATGTTAGTATGTGCCCCTTTGCAAGCTGGATTGGAAGCAGTAACTTTCTTAAAGGAGTTTTGTTTCAGTCCTGCAGCAAAGCTACTTATGAGCTGTACATGTATTCTGGCAGGAGTGTCACTATCTTGAGTTCTACATTGCTGTTCATATAACTGTGAATAGCTGTTGTGTGTCCAAAATGCAGGCAACTTATTCGGTGGCAAGTGTCTTTAGTCATATATTAGGAATCCTCATAAAAATTCTTACCATAAAAAAACTCCATCACCAGCTGTTATGTTCAGGGTCACAGCTTTTGATTTTTGGAAATGCTGAACTGCTGGGGATTAGGAAAAGTTCTGAAAAGTATCTCCATGTGCTTGATGTATACCTGTTTTCTTGCAATTGTCTGTTTTCAGAGACAGGATACTGAGTAAGAGGTCTCTGGTAGTGTTGGGTACTGCATGCCTAGAACTAAGCATATGCTTTCCATGAACGTGGAAAGGAAAAGAGGTGGACTATAGCTTGAGGTAGCATGAGGTCATGTGACCTACCTTATGCTATATGTTGAGCATGCTGTTGGTTTCAGTGTTCCCTCCAAATGCATTGCTATAGCTGATCTGAGACAATGGCTAAAGCAGCAGTTCACATCAGCCGCACAATATTTCACAAATAGCTGTATCTAGTCCAAAATAACCTTAATTGATTTAAAGATTACTTTTATAAATACTGAAGTGTTTGGGTTACACTGCATAGCTCTGACACTAACTGGAAATTACTAACTTTCTGGTCATGTGTTCTTTTGTCTTCGAAGGTTACAGCAGCACATACCCTTTCGGGAAAGTAAGTTAACTCACTGCTTCCAAGGATTCTTCAGTGGAAAGGGGAAGATCTGTATGAAAGTAAATATAAGCCAGTGTGCATCAGCATATGATGAAACACTCAATGTGCTAAAGTTCTCAGCCAGTGCACAAAAAGTAAGTGTGTAGTATTTCATCTTGTGATCAGTACTTCTGATTTGCATTTAAAGGGCAGGTATTCTCACTTGTAAGAATAAACTTAGTTGCTGGATTTTTGTCTCATTGCAATCATATTTTCTAATTACTCTAGTCAGGCTTTACTACTTTGCTG